CCCTGCAGTCCCTGGCCATAAGAGGCCGTGGGTCTCTCTGGCCCCAGGCTGGTTCCTTTGAAGACCGTGGAGAGATGAAAAAAACAAGAATTCCGGGGGCTCCCCCAGAGTGGCAGAGATGGAGATTTAAAGGTTCATTCCCCAACCCAAGGCAGACATTTCGGAGCCACTGGGGGCCCTAGAACAGCGGCTGGAATAGACTGGCTATTAGCAATTCAAGGGCTCTAGGTGGGAGAGACCTGCCCGCGGAAGACCAGACGTTCAGCCTCTTCAGGGCTGAACTGAGTGCAGAAACGCCCGTGTCACAGCGTAACTTACACGGCCCCTCGCAGCTTCTGGGACTGGCTCTGTTTTCAGCGTTCTTTGCGGATACGTCCTTTGGTAATTCATCGCCATTGGGGTGGCCCACACCAAATGGTAAGATGGCTTCCCCACCTCAGGACGCCCTCCCGTGGGCCAACTCACAGGTGGAGGCAGTGCTGCAAAACAGCTTTAGCACGAGGCGAACCACCCTCAGACCTGAGCGCACGAACGAGTGTCGGCGTGTGTCAGGGACGCTGTTACTCAAAGAACCACCGTCTTACCTGGAATGTGGCCCCCGCCTGGCAGGGATCTCAGGCCCCAGACTGAGACTAGAGAAAGACAGGAGAACACACTTGGGAAGTGGAGTCTGATGGACCCAAGTTCAAATCCCGGGGTCAGCTCCCAGTTGTGTGATCTTGGTGAGTTATCGTCTCTGAGGCTCCATCTCCTCAGAAGCAAAAGAGAAGGTAGTACCTCCTTCACCAGGTACTGAGGACCGCAGGAAACGATCCAGGCAATGGGGGTGGGGAAGGGGTGCAATGTCTACATGCTACTACCCAAAGATGATACACGTCACTTCAACCCCCTCCCCATCCAAGGTCCAGCCCAACACGGCTGTCATCTGAGCGGCCCTGGGCAAGTCATTCGGTCTCCCCAGGCTTAGTTTCCCCTTCTATCAAGGCAGGAGGTGGCACTCCACGGCCCCTTAGAGCCCCATTCTGTCAGCCAGTATAACTGCTAAGGGGCGGCTTGCCTTCAGCCTCACTCTCACACCTGCTCCCTCTCACGCGCTGTCTCCCTTTAAACTCACAGCGCAGCCCCTCCCCGTTCTCCCTGTTGGATTCTGAGATGCTGGCTCATCCTCTCCTCCACTATTTGTGGAAAGCAGCCTACATGCCAGGGCTGTGTTTACAAGGGTACAAGCTTTATCACGGAGTAATCCTCACAACCACTGTGGGGGCTTTACTATTATCACGCCCGTTTTACAAATGAGGAAATCAAGGCTCAGGAGGTTAAGCAACTCAGCAAAGATAGGAAACTGAAGCTGCCCTTCCAGCTGCTGGTAATCATTACAGGCTGCACCACCAGGCCGGGCTCTGACCGTGTCTAGTTGGAGCTCTCTCTTCTTACGACCTGGGGCTGTGCTGCCTCATCTCATAAATGACTTTGTATTAATAACTTGATGTGTCACACCTGCCAGAGGGCACATGCACGCATTAACCAGGACCCATCACCTCTGAACCAACAGGTAACTCACGGTGGGATTTGCAGGCCCTGCGGCCGGTGGGTGAGGGTGAGATTGAGGACGGGCAGGGCTTACACACCTCTTTCAAATAACAGCACGTGGTCAAACAGCTACTCGACCTCCACAGGAAGCTGCCAGAAGCCACTGCATTTGAGTTCAGGCCTAAAACCTGCGTGCTTCCCAGCTGCCATCAGCCCACTCAGAACACCACAGAACGGTTAGGACAAGGGCTCACACTGTGGGCAGGACAGCCCAGGTGAACCAGTCCAGTGAGCTCGGGTGGATTACTCAGGACAGCCCAGGTTAACTAGTCCAGTGAACCCGGGTGGATTACTCAGGACAGCCCAGGTTAACTAGTCCAGTGAGCTCGGGTGGATTACTCAGGACAGCCCAGGTTAACTAGTCCAGTGAACCCGGGTGGATTATTTAAGACAACCCAGGTACTAGTTCAGTGAACCCAGGTGGACTACTTAAGACAAGCCAGGTTTATTAGTCCAGTGAATTCAGGTGGACTTCTTGGCCTCTTTGAGCTTCTCCTCTGCTAAATGACCTTGGGTAAGTTAACCCAACCAGCTTCAGGTCCCTCACCTGGCAAAGGGGATAACACAAGCACCCTCAGAGGGCCGGCACAGGGCTGGGAGTGCCTGGCGTGTAGCAGAAACAGACGAGCCCACTGGGAGGGCAGAGGAGCTTGGGGGATGGTCAGGTGATTTCCCATCATCAGCACAGCCTGGACCAGAGGAGAAAGATGGAACTGAAGCAGAGGTTCACCAGACTCGAAGGGCCTGCCAACCCGTGGGGACCCATGCCAGTGAGAGCTGGACACCCTATTATGGAAAAGCCCTGGACTGATCTGACCCCAGACTCCACTCTGCCCGGCCAGCTGGCAGCTGCTGCTGGAAGCACCTCTGTCAGGTGAGAGGCCTGGACTGTGTCACGGGGTCCAGTGTGGCCACCCACCTGTCACCCTCAGGGCGCCAGGAGGTTGCCGGGGTAACGGAGCTATTCTGGGCACTCCTGAGGGATCCTGACTCCTCTGTCCACGTCCCGCAGGCTCCCTTCAGCCTCTCATTCTGCATGCCTGCTGAGACCTCGTCCTCCTGCCTCACGAGAGCAGGGGGAAATGGGAAGAGAAATGGGAACTGACCGTGCAACTGGACCCGAGCATTTTATTTCCTTATCATTTATTTCCTTAGTTACGGCACATTTCCATTCATGGAGGCCCTTCCCTTATAAAGGCTCTCAGTGTTTACTTCCAATCCGCTAAATAATTCCTCTGACCTCTTCTTGTCTTTACCCTTTAAATATCTGTTGATGGTTCATTCACCACATTCCCCATTCAGTTATTAATGGCCCACAAAAACATACGAGCAGTAATCATTTACTGATTAATCTCACAACAGCCCAGAAAGGCAGGTAGGATTAATCCTCGGTTCTGCAGAGGGAAGCCAAGGGGAAAAGAGAGGTTAACTCAGCCGGCCAAGGTCAGTGGCTAAACAAGATTGCAACCAGGACCCATCCTGGCTTGTGTCTGTGTAAACGCCTGCCACAGGGTTATTCCCTTTCCTTGCAAATCAAGATTGTCAGCGCAGCTGGAGGACTTCTGTGTTGAGATTCAGCCATCACAGAAGAGTTTCAAACTGTCAAAATTCAACCCAAAATAATTTGGCCTGCTAATAGTTCATAAAGAAAAGCTGCTAAAATGAAGAGATAATAGTACTTGAAGGTAAATTTACAGACGCCAAAGAGAAGTGAAAAGATCTGGATTACAGACCCGGCTCTACCACAAGGAGACTCTGAGAAAGGCACTTAGTTTCTCTGCTTCTCTGAGTCATCTGTAAAAATGAGATGACGCTGAACAAGATTTCAGAAATTTAAGACATCTTGCTGTTTGAAATGAGATACTGAATACCTTCTAAAACAGCCCCAATACAAAGCTGCAGGGTCCAGCGCTGCAAAATCAGCATACGCACGTGCCGTCCCGGCCACACGGCCACGGTCCCCTCGGAAAGCGAGATGCCAACGCCCAACAAGAACCAGAAAGCTTTCCATCTCCTTTGACTCAGCACTTTAACTCACAGTATTTTACCCTAAGAAACAAGTCAACGGAAGCAAAAAGACACATACAAAGGAAAACGCACATTTCAGGGCTAACGATCAGAGGAAAAACTGTTATCCATTTAAACGTTCATTTTTAGAAGGATGTCTTATTAAATACAAGCATAGAACAGTATGAATGTCATGTTATTAAAAAGGATAAATATGAAAATTAGGCAAAATCATTTAAAATCTTACCAACGCTATTAAACAAAAATAGCCAAAAGTAAAAGAGCAGATACGGACTCTCACGTCAACTATGTAAAATAGATGGGCAAGGTCACAGGAAAACACAAAACCGTTATGCTATTAGTTAGGCTTATTGTTTATTTTTTTTATATATTTTAACTGTTTTCAGTGAATACTGTTTTTCCATTAACACATACATCTTATCATTTAATCAATTATGTAAAAATTTCTCAACTTGGTTTGATGCAACTCAATTTTAGTTTGCTGGAAAATGAATTTTAAAGTTTCTGCCTAAACCTCCTGAGAATTTTTGTTGGCTGACATACTATTCATGACATTCCTCTTCCGGAGTGATCTCTGCTCTTCACTATGCAATTCTTCAGTGTCTAGAGACTCTGAAATCTCGGAACCTTGCACTTCTTTCCCTCACCTACGAGGACTCTTAAAGATCTGTCACCTCGTCTAGTTAGGAATAACCCCATCATTGCCTTGTCATGCTAATATCTGGCAACTGCCTGACCCAGGAGCCAACATTTTTCCCATAACTGGACCTGTGTGTCCATCTACAGTGACCATAAAGCTGTCACTACCCTTTTCTCAGTATGGAGGGTGGTTTCATATTCCAAGTTCTGGGGGCTTCACAGCACGACATCTTATCTTTCCAGAGGCCTTAGGCCCCCCCACCCCAGGTTCACTGAGGAAAGTGGCTCCCGCAGCATCGTGCTGGGCCATCCCTTCACACAAGGACTCTTACGTCCTCCTTCATTTCTTAGAAATGTTCTCTTACTGGTAGGTCATTTGTACATTTTGCTCATAATATCTGGGAAAGACTGCAGAGCCAATGAATTAAAAATATGATTCTAGGTCTCATGTGTGCCAATGAATGCCCTCATTAAAGCAGAATGAGTGAGATGAGACCGGTTTCAAAGCTTTCCATCCCTTTGCCCCAGAGCCGCCGAGGCCAGGCACTAAAAGGATGCACAGTAAAATTAAATATCTAAAAATTCATCTTTAATTAACAGAATTGGATTAAAGCTGGACACACCACACATCACAGGAGAAGTGGCTGAGCTGGCTTCCAAGCGCTCTAATTCAATTAGGACGCAGTGAGTGACACCCGGACAGGAAGGTTAATTGGGGGCGCCAGAACGCAATCATTCCTTACCTAACCAGTCATTAAACTTCTTAACCTCTGAGGGCAGTCCCAGCTCGGTGAAATCGCCTGTGTGGAGAAGGATGTCCCCATAAGGCATCTGGATACCATCTGTTCTGGAGTGTGTGTCTGAGATGCAGACAAACCGCGTGTGGCCCGCTGGTTTTGGAGTGTCATATGGGATGGGGTCGACCCTAAAGTAGACATAACAGATCCCATAACAGTGAAATACGTTAGAACCCTCATAATTGTCATCGCACATACATATCGATATTTATCCGTGAACGCACCCAGACAAACTGACGCAAAGCCAGAGGGGCCCACTGTAACAAGGGACATTTCTGGGTGCACAGGAGGCAGCCCCGCCCATCTACAACCCCACTGGGCCAATTCAACAAGTCTTACTTACCTGGCAGGAAAATTAAAAGCAAAGAATATCTTAGATGTAGAGTCGGAAATAACCCAGGAAACTGATAGAGTGATTAATGGCGAAGTTGAGGGATACTGAGCCCCAACTGGGGAAGCAAAATTATACTATTTTCTCTCTCATCATGCTCCAATTGATCCCACTACTCATTAGGAAACAGATAACTAATTTATTCCTTCTTAAACATGCATAACTTAAGCAATGAGCTAATTTACGGAGAACATTCTGCACATGCTCTGCCACTGAGAGGTAGAGAGACAGAGCATTTCTATTTAATTTCTTTCCACAATCATTCAACACTCATATCTTCTTGTTTTTGCTAAGAGATTCACAGATCCAGCTGTGGGGGGGGAAGGTGACGCCAAAATAACAGGACTTCAACAAAAACATCAGATGTTAAAAGAACTTGTTCCAGCTCCTTCCTCACCACAGTGAGTTGCCCGCAGTCCCAGTGACACCTCAGGTTGCTTGGGGTGTTCGAATGCTCTGGGCAGAGGCTACTCAGCACAGTGAGCCTGCTAATGGGATGTGCGGATCCACACGTGCATTAATATATGTGTAGTTTCAGAGACCTAAGCACTGTGAAATTACACTAGGGCATAAGAATCAAAATGATCAACCCGAAGCAAAGAAAATGAAACAGAACATTCTCATTTAATTGAGTGTAACAAAGTGTGCTAAATAAACTTGGTAAAGAAATGCAAATCTGACTCTCCCAGCATACAGCTTTAATTATTTAGGAGGTTTGCAGCCGAGTTAAGGATGCTTTCACCATATTAACTCTACACTGACAGCTTCCTTTAATTTCTCTGTAGGAATGGACACTTATTTTGGATTCTCGGTGAAAAGCAGCAGCTATAAATGCAAAGAGAGGGTCACAGAGACACAAACATGGAATGCAGAGAGCAAAGCACCACACAAGGCGGCTCCCCACCACAGCCCTCGAGGGGCCACGAGCGCAGACACTCCGACTCCGCGTGCTGCCTCCTCCGGCTTTGTTCAATTTCTCTTTCTTTTTTACACCTTCTTAAAAAAAACAATGTGTTTTAACAATGGCAATTTCAGTGAGGGAAATAAGACATGGTATACAGCTTGGATAGTCTTACATTTCTTTAATGGTTACTCTTCATTTCATCTTTGTCAGAGAAGGAAGGAAAGCAACAAGAGAGGAGAGTAGAAAAAGAGAGAAAGGAGGTCGAGGGAGGGAGGGCCTGCACACTGGTGGGTCTAATTGGAAACCCAAAAAGAAAGTTTAACTTCTGCAAAAAATTAATGGATTTTTCCTGTAAAGGTTAGAAATACCGCTGTTACCATGGAGAAAATTCACTAATCCACTGAGCTCTCCTGAGTAACCTGGAAACCCTCCTGGTTATATCCAATGATGATTTTTTTTTAAATATATATTGTTGCACATGTATTCAAGCAGTTCTATAGTATAAAGTCCAAGATGTGGAGTTTGGGGAGCAAAGGATATGGACACATTTTTAAATGCACAAGGGGGTACAATTTACTTTTTTAAAATTATTTATTTATCTTTTTGCAGGGGAAGATTTGCCCTAAGCTAACATGTGTTGCCAATCTTCCTCCTTCTTTTTTTCATTTTCCCTTCCCCTTGCCCCCACAAAGCCCCAGTCCATAGTTGTGGACAGCAGTAAGTCCCCCTGGTTCTCCTATGTGAGCTACCACAGCACGGCTACTGACCGACGAGGGGCGTGGTTCCACGCCTGGGAACCAAACCCAGGCCGCCAAAGGGGAGCGCGCCCAACTTTAACAGCTAGGCCATCAGGGCTGGCTCCCAATGTTGATTTTTTTTTTAATATAAAAATGTTTGGTGTCCTCCTTTCCATTCCTGAGACTATTACACTCGGCCTCAGTGGTTCTAACCTTGTCAATGTCTTCTGTCTTCTAAAAGTGGTTATCCCAGAAGAGGAAGGCCTGTTCCCTGCTGCGGCAGACTGTGGGAACGACGGGTTATGTTCTGTCCCTACACCTAAAGTCAAGACGCTCACCAGAACAGGACCATGCACAGTTATACGGAATCCACCAACATGTGGATCAGCCACTGGACTTTAAATTCTTGAACAAATTCAGTCATGTATATCTATATATCTCTATCTTCCAGTTCTCATGTCAATGGTAATGTACAGACACAGGCCCCGTTTCTTCCTCTCTTTAACTCAGATAAGCTACGGGCACAAGCACTGCATCAAAATCCTTTACGAGTCCATCGAACGTATCAGAGGAACATCATGGTCATTTTTGTTTTTTTACTAAATTTACTAAAGAGAAAGTAGCAGAGATATGAACCTCTCTCTGTGAATAGGCCCCTATTCCACTAACCTACTCAGCCTAGAGAAGGGACCATCACATGGTACAGAATCTGCTCCCCGTCTTAGCTGGAGACTGGGCAATAACTTTCTAAGACTATTGGAACACCAGTCAATTTCTGAATGGTTTCGACTCTTTTCTCACCCCCCCTCCTCCTCCAGAGAAACGGTTAAATCTCCAACAGAAGAAACAGTGAAAATAAAGGCCAAGGAATAGGAAAACAGGGGGGACGGGAAAGAGGGAGAAGAAGCGTCTTCTCAGCTCCGAGCTGAAATGAAGTGACGAGTCAGAAGCACACAGGAAGGCTGGCAGAGAGGGCTCGCCCAGCAGCACTGCCGTGATGCCGTCAGAGAGCATCAGCGAGCAGCCCTGGGGAGAGATTCAGAGGATGGCTCAAGGTTGAGGAGCAGGGCGGGCGAGGCATGAAGACACAAATGCAGAATTTATACACATCCCTGGACCCCGAGACACTGACGGCCTTTGTACCCACAGGACCAAGTACAAGAAGATGGGACAGTGCAGCACAGGAGGGCCAGCTGCAGGACACCAGGATGAATGTCACCCGGGGTCATGGGAAGGAAGACAGTTCCACCCAGGGACACTGAGAGCTGAAAACAAGACGCCTCGTAGAGGAGGCAAGTGCTGTGGATACAGCCAAAGTCGAGACAACCCTGGGAACACTGCTGTTTCCAAACTGGGCATCTGGAGAGCACCTGAACAGTCAAGACAGCAGACATTTCACCATGGAGCCTGCTTAGGGGAGACCCGCCTGCTGCAGGGAGGTCCACCTGCTCACGCAGTGCGAGGACCCTCACGCACATCTTCCCTCTTACGCGACCACCTCACCGCTCACGCTGCCGACTTCTCAAATGACCTGACGTTCCCTGAGGTGCCATGTCAACTATCCCAGCAAGAGAGTATGGAACCAAGGCATCGACCCCCCAGAGCAGGGTTCCCACATCAGAGTGGGATCTGCACGTCCATTTGAGTGCACCGGGGGAAAGGAGAGGACATGAAGACGAGAAGAAACACAGAACCATCAAGTCCCAGAGTGGGACAGAACCTCTGGGGCCCTGGGGTCAAAGCTTTACAGGATGCTTGACTCCCTCTTGCCCTCCCTCCCTACCTGACAAACTTCTTTCCAGGCTTTCCAGGGAGGGGGAGCCCCTGAGCCCCCTCCCCTCCCTCAGAGGAGCCCATCCTGGTTTCTGATCCAGAGCCTGAACCCCTGAGAGAGCAGAGCAGGGTCCAAACAGACTCAGCCTGCAGCCTGAAGACGGAGTAACAACTCTGGCTGAGTCATCCGCTTCTGGCAAGTTATTTCATTCTTTCGGGCTTCATCTTTTTCTCATCTGTAGAATGGGAATGATAACACCTAACTCAGCTGTGTTCCCACAAGGACCTACATCGTCAAGTCCTGGTCTGGTACAGAGCACCCGCTCAGAGAGCAGAGGCGCAGAATGCATAAGGGTGACGCATGTTGGCTACCCAGCCAGACCGTCCAGCTCTGGATTCCACTCCACATCCATTAACAAGGTGGCACCGAGCACCATACAAGACTGTGAGAACTAAAGAGGTCACGACGCAACACCCAGCACATTAGGCACGTGATCCACAGTCAGTAAACACACTTATTTCCTTCCTGCGGCTTCCTTCTTAACCCTAGACTGCACTCGGAAAGAACGGAGAAGAAGAACTCAGTCCCTTCTCCGTCCGACAGTTCTTCAAATGTTTGAGGACGTGCATTACAATCCCCCCAAATCTTCTCCACTCTGGGTGAGTAGCCACAGTTTCTTCAACTCTTCCTCGTGCAACAGGATTTCAACGCCCTCGGAATCCTGGAGGCAGAACTCGTCCTCCTTGGTACAATCCAATTGGTCAGAATGCCCCCATCTGTGGTGTCGGAATTCACGGGCCGTGTGAAATCACGGACCCATGAGCTGTTCATCAAAGACAAACGCCAGCACAGGCGACGGAGCCGACGGTGACGGTGCTGGATGCGATGGTGGACTCTCCCAGAGGCCCCAGCCCTCATCTCAAACCGTTTTCTAGTTAAGTCTCCACGGTTTGTGCCCAGCCTCCCACCTCGTTCTCGAAGCTTGGCTGTCAAATGTTTACCCAGTTCACCGCATGTTCAAACACACTGCTCCCGTTTATTCAGTCCTGACACATCAGAGTTTTATACTCATAAAAAAAATAATATGAGAGTATTATTGCTTTCATTATGGATTCCTCTTCCCGGCATATCTGTTATCGTTCCAATAATGAATCCATACAGTGTGGTGAGCGCCATTGATAGATCTTCAGAAAAGCTGTTATCATGTAGTTTGTTATGACATGGATTTCTTCTTCAGGCCATGTGTGCAGTGAAAGCTTTGTGTACACAATTAGCCTAGAATTCAGTGTCAGAACAGAACACAACCCTTATAAAGCATTTTA